TTCCTTGTAGAATTGGAACCCACAAATATTTATGTATATTTCAGAACCAATGATTTCTTTGTTAAAGCGTCATATACTACATATCCCAAAAGGCCTTTCTGTGAGTCCAGTGTGTGTACCAGCCATTTAAAGCTTTCACTTTAGCTCAGCAATGGTTGATTTCATAAATTCATGGGAATTATCAGTATGCATTCTGTGTCTCCTTAATGTAGATAATCAGTTACTTGAGATCTGAAAAAGTTTATTCCTCAAATGAATCACTACTTCTCTCCTTTGGTGCAATCTATATTGCAATCCTACTAAGTCTAATTGAAGATAGATTTGGAAAAGTAGTCATCTTCATTGTCTATTTGATCTTATATCTACAATCTTTTTTCTGGCTGATGTGCATTTTCCTTGACATGCTTAAAGCCCAGGTAAGGTTGTTCCAAATCAGGTGCAGATTAGCATGTTAACATTAAGCATTATTCATTGCCTTTATGTGCCATCCATGCTCACTTCCCCTGATTACCACTGATTACATACGGTCAGAAATAGTGGAAGGATGTATTCTGGTTGGTATCTACTCCTAGAATCTGTAATACAAGAAGCGTGCATCATTGTAAATTTGTTGTTTTATCAATCTTTTCTCATCGACAAATAGTTTGTAGAAGATATTATTTTTTTTAAATACATGTAATGTTGGCCTTTTCAATACACAAATCAAATCAGTTTTCTTGGTGATAAATTCCTTCCTAACCCCTTTGGATTCTGCAAAAGTCAAAGAAATTCTATGATATTCTGTATATTTCAACTTCTTCCAGCTTATACCCATGAAGGCTGTTTGTGTATTTATAAAATACAAATTATATCAAATGTCACTTTTATATCTGACTCCCCGAGGCAGTTTATCAGTGTATGGAAATATGACCCTCCTTCAGACAGAAGAACAAAGAAAGAAGAAAAGAACTTTAATTGGTTGTTACAGTATAGTATTACTACTACATCTTCAGGTAAGCAAGACAAGACAAGACAAAACAGCTCTTACAAAATATCACTGGTGCATTGTCTTTCTATTATTCCAAATGATGTGCAATACATGGTTAATGGTAGGAGAGGGAGAGCAGTCTATTGTTACCTTAACTTGCATTCTTGTTCTAAGGCACTGTATGAAAACCTAATGTCATCTGGATATCATAGCAGTCCTTACCATATAATTACATGGGACCAACATTACTTGATCAAAGTAAAAGAAAAAGCTCTTATTTTGTTTATAAGCCATCTGCCACAAACCATTATCATTTACTTAGATCCTAAGTTACAGTTCCCATTTTAATACTTCTATTAGTGTTTGGGTGGTTTCTATGAAGATTATTCAATAAACATTGTCCAGAAAAAGCTAGATACTTTTAATGCATAATCCTCTGGAATGTTTATTAAACAATAGCAGTGAACCTTCTGACAGTTTTATTTCTGAGAATGTTATAACATTATTATGCATCCCACCGGTAATTCTGCATTACTAAAAGCTCCTGTGCAATGTAACGAGTCTTACCGAAAGCAGATGCAGCCGAATTAATAACAGGGACATCAATGCACTATAGAAAGTCGTACAGTAGAAGGTGTGGGATGGGGGGAAAAGAATGCAGAAAAGGATTCTGTTTCACTTTTGCAACAAAAAACTGAAATAAGAAGAAACGGTAATATAAGGATTTGAAAATCCAAACGTAAAAAGTAGATTCACCTGAAAAGGTAATTTCATCATGCATTACATATTTACTGTTTAATGCAGAGTCTCTGGACAAATTGAATTTAACTTAATTATAGGATGAAGGGATTCTAAAAAATGACTTAAACCCTTACATGTTCTTGAATTTACTTCTGTGAATAGGTTTCTGCATGTCACATTTTCTGTGAGGCCACCCTGCAAGGATCCTTTTATCTCCTGTTAAAAAGATGCTATTCCTCCTAACTAACCACAAAGAAAGCTCAGTCTAAGCTTCAGTACACTTAATACAAAGCCTCCAAAGAAGGGAAGGCTTCAGATAAAACTCAGTGCTTGGTCATAATGAACCTGGTAAATGCTGGTTTCCTGCAATAAAAACAATAGGTGAAATCTTGGCCTATTGAAGTCAATGGGAATTTTGCCATTGATTTTAGCAGGGCCAGTATTGCAACCAATAAATCTCATAAGCACACTGAAAGAAGCGGGTGAAGGAAGGAAGGGGAATTAATGTAACAGAACCTACACATTATTTCAGTCCTTGTTCTACCCTCCTTTGCCTGAGTGAATAGCTCCTGATACTCCTGAGATGTGCTCACAGAAACTATTGTGGCAGTGTACTGAACACCAAATATTTACAAAGTTGTTATAATGAGTCAGTCTCAGATTCAACAAGAGGTTGTTTTAGGGTTGAGTAACCAAGGCAATTGACCAAGACTGGATACCATGGGGAGTGAGTTAGACTACAATAATTAGAAGTACAAGTAATGCAATATGCCTCAATATATGCCCGTGTTCTTGCTAGTCAAAACCTGCTCTAGCTCCACACATGTTCAGTTAGACCTTTCAAACGCAATCCTTTCTGTAATGTGAGTAATAACAGGCAAAAAAATGTTAGAAATATAAATGTCTTTTTGTCTTTTTATATTTATATCTGTATTTGTGTTTCTTTTTATTGATGTGTTAAAATATCTAATTTCTGATTTCTGGTGTGTAGTAAGTGTAGCCACCATATTATTGCATGGGTTTTCCCAGACAGTCATTAGACCCATGCACCACATAGCCCATGTACAGCAAGGCAGTTTCAGAGAGCTGCGGACTAACATATCAAGCACTGTACAGCCACACCACAGACATGCTGTGGTCCTATCTGGAAACCAAAAACATTGGATGTGAGGAAACGTATGTGTTGATACCCCATCATGGGCTTTACCATTCTACTTGAGAGCCCTGTTTTCTTTAGGAGGTGAAAGCTACAGAGGAAATTTGAACTTCTTTTTCAGGTGTTCCAGGATCTGGACCAGAAGCACAACCATCCAGTTTGTGGGGCTCTTTCATAGGGATTACTTGCAACCAAGGGATAGTTTGGAAAAAAAAATTACTGGTTAGAAAACAACAACAAGCAAAGTGTGGATAAAAATACATTATCTGATATGAAAGAGATAGAGGCAAAATACTTCTGAACATAAAAGCATGGTGTAGAAATGTGATGGATCTGTAAAATCTTCCTTGAACTAGCTTAATATCTGTAACATTTATCTCACAGTAATAAACTAAAGCAGAGTAAACTTACACTGGGAGTGGAAAATGGTGACATCCACTGCAGATATCATTTTACAATACACAATTTTCATTGGCTGTTAAATCTCATTTTAACACTTATCAGAGTATTCAACAATAAATTTTCCCCACCACTTAAAACACTCCACTCTGCAGGTTTCCAGCCCAGACTGGTTACCTGGCATTTCAAGCAAATGTTTTTGTTGTCTGAAACTGTAGGACATCCACTTTGCTTTTGATCATCATGGGTATTAAGTGCTTCTCCAAACTGGGGTAAACAAACAAACAAATAAGCCACCAACAACTGTCTTATGCAGAAAATATTTTACATTGTGGCACTGTTCTTTCTCTGTAAAAATGTTTTTAAAACTACTAGGAGGTGCACATAAATGATCAAATTTGTAATAAATCCTTTGTGACCTCAGCTTATGTGGCTTATCAGAACATCTAACAGTAGTTACCCCTAAGCACAGGAATGCTTATAGATAAGATGAAAGCAACCCTTCTTATTAGTCACACTGTATATCTGACTCCTGCTCCTTTCTTCAGTCTTTAAATCAACGCCATCTGGTTGTTACTATTTAGTTGCGCAGCTTACCCTTCACAATGAAACATGCTTACTGCTGCAGAAGCAGGTCCAATGTGATTAAAGTTATTAGGTAAACCAGCGGTTGCTTAAGTCTGGAATCAGCTAACCATAAAATCATATCATATCAGCCACAAAATGAAACTGAGGATCAAATCTTTACAGGTGTAAATTGGCTGGACTCCAGCTGATTTCAGCGAAAGGTACTGAAAACAATGTTCTGGGCCACCTTTCTTTATGTTAATACTTTATGGAGCACATCAAGCAAGATGCCAGAATGATGTTTGTATAAGTAAGAAACAATCTCATCATATTGCAGACTAGTCCTGGGTTTATGGTCTGTTGTGGCAGGGTGAGGACGTAGGTAGCTAGAAGGGAATGACCCTGCCTACATTAACTAAAACAAACCGAAACAAAAAGTGACCTTGCCTCTGGGGTGCCCAGTTTATTTAGAGGGTCCTAATTCAGATTCTGTTCAACTGACTGCAAATGCAAGCCAAACAATATCAAGACAACAAAAACAAAGGAGCAAAACAACTTTCTGTTTTTTGGTCAATGACTTCCTTCTTTTATTGCTATGACTGTGTCTTTGTTCCTTTCCAATTTTTTGGCCACAGCTAAACTAAACTGTGTTCATTGCTGAGTTTGTGAAATTCTTTGTGGGGATCTAATCCAGTAAAAAATCGTATTGCTGAATGACTGTGAGATAGGAACAATCCAGGCAAGGTAGGTTGTGGTAGGATCTCTTCCAGGTAGAACTCACGTGTAAGTTACAATGTACAAGTAGGACCTGGCATTTCCCTGTGGTGAGTTTTATTCTTTTAGGGGTTCATTCTGGAGCTTCCATGACATCTCTACCACAAACGCTCACTGCAACCGTGACACAGATGGAGGCAGGCAGGGCCTGCTCCAGGTCATGCCAGCAGGCCATGATACTTTGAAAAACATTGGGACTCTGTGACTGGAAGGGGCTACCCAGATAGTCAGGTCCCTACCCCAGCAGTCACAGGGTCAGCTGAGACTAGGGCTCCCCCTGAAAACGCTGAAATTTCCCCTTTGGGCAAGAATGCCAGCTATGCACCCTTATGTCACCGGAATGCCTACACAGGTAAAAATACCACAGTTACAACCTTTTCTCTTTTACAGCTTGAGAACTACATTGTAGAAAACATGAAATCGGAGATGGTGCAGCTGCAGCAGAATGCTGTGCAGAACCACACCGCCACTATGCTTGAGATAGGGACCAGCCTCCTCAGTCAGACAGCAGAGCAGACGAGAAAACTCACGGATGTTGAAACCCAGGTATGTTCCCAGAACGGTTTTCTAAAAGGTGTTAATTGCAGAGAACTTTTCCCATCCTCTTTCTTTTCTAATGCATCACCACACAAAATATTTCAACACAGGGCTCCAAGAAACACACAAACTCTGTTTCTTGGTACCAATAGTGGTGATGACTGACCCTTGTTATGTGTCTGTCTTTTGATTTCATTTGGTTAGTATATTTAGCTCTGTGTGTGTGCAAGGCAGGCAGGACTGGACAGGAAACTAAATCAGCATTTGACTTCAAATAAACAGCCCAGCTACCAAGTGTGAATGATACAAGTGTCAAGCTAAATAACGAGTTTCAGGCTAAACCAGTCTTTGATCTCCATTGTTTGCTTCTTTACTATTACAAGAAAGTTTGTTTGTTTTCTGCAGGATGTTTCCAGCTTTTTGAAAAGTAGTGTATGTCTGCAGCTTTTAAACTGTGAAGAGAGAGTGACAATCATCAGATTCTTTATAAAACACTGTGTACTTGTTATTACTGTAAAATCATGTAACATGGCATGCATTTAAAGAGCCATCTCCATATGATTCCTAGCACTAAAATCACTGTTGTGATTGAAGTGACAATAGTATCACTGTTGTAACACAGAGTACAATTTCATACTGGGCTTATTGCAAAGATATGTACTACTTTTTGGTTTTTGAATTCTTTAATCAGTTTAAGATCCATTTTTTTTTTTCCTTATTTTTGCTGACTTCCTCTTAATCTTCGTAGCATGTGGTATACTACCAGCTGCACTGCATTCACTGCTCATTTCGAACAGGGGAATTAAAGTATTGCATTTACTTGGGTTTGTTCTAGTAACATATGCACTTCTTGAAAGATCATATTCTCTGTTCTAATGTCCTTACCTACATTTACAATATCATTACCAAGTTTTTACATAATTGCATTACAGTACACTGAGAAACAACAGGAATTATGAAAGACAGATATGCTGTCTTACAGAAGTTCCCTGCACCTTTTTTCTTACATTTTGGTTTGTAGATCAACATTCACTTATAAATGCTGTGATCTCAAATTACCACAGTTTCTAAAACATAGTATATTGACTTACGAAAATGTTGGGGAAAATCTTTAATTCACTACCAACAGAATATCTAAATGGAAACATAAGAGGTGAAGACCTATGGACTGTAGTATTGTATGTTCAGTAAAGATAAAGGAGGTGTAGGAACTCTTCTTACATCCCAAAAGACCTACCTAGGTGTAAGTGTTGAGTACTCATGCACATTTTCCTCCTTTAAGCAGATAAGGGACAAAATGTGCATTGCCTCTGTCTCACTTTGAGGAACCACTTCAAGGTAGAGGTGTCACTGGCAACTGCATGAAGGAGCAGATGACTTCCTCCTTCTATACCTATTGCTGAAGAATTTAAGGGATGTTCAAGGCATCAGTGGGAGTGGCTCTTCCTTGTTGCAGTACTTGTTCTGACTTCCAGCTCAGTGATGGCATGTCCCACCTCCCCTCTTTCAGCAGTATAAGAAAGTCCCTGGCTCTACCATCAATATGCCAACTGGAAAATCTATGCCAACAAAATCAGCTAATAATTAATATTATCGCTTTCATTATTGAAAGTATTCTGTTATTCCCACTTTTGAGCTATTTTTTGTTAGAATCTATCCTCTTTCATCTAGTTAAAAGGCTTCTTTTGGTCCGATGTACTTAGTAAAACTTGTGCTATTGGTACAGATCACCACTAAAGTGAAGGCCACTTGCATAAAACAATGTTTAGGATCACAGTCCTCATCTTCAAAATCTGTGTAAGAGTGCAAGTAGTGACAACATAAGCAGACACCAGACTTCTGCCAACACTGCAAAAGAGAGAAGTCAGGGGAAAGCTAAAGTAGGAGCTCTATTTACAAAACAGCAGATGCAACGCTTTGGCTTCAGTCCAAGTACTCTTGCACTCTTCTGGTTTAAGCATGCTTTGTAGGAATGCATGTTTGAGGCATGCCTGTTGTTCTTTCCATTGAAATAAAGCTTATCTATCGGTCACCTTTCCTTTTTCTGCCGGCCTAGTATTATTCTACAGTAAACAGGGTGCCAGAATATCAGCTGGTACATATCAGTGTAGCTTGATTGAGTTCATTGGCACCAGATGAGCTGCTGAGGTTAAAAAAGGATTTAGAAACAATTTTTGACGAATCATCAAATCCAAATTAAATGGTTGCATTATGTTGCTACAACAACATAATCAGGAAAATATAAACATTATTTTTTTTTAATTTATCTGTAAGGTGCTAAATCAAACATCCAGACTTGAAATTCAGCTACTGGAAAATTCACTGTCAACATACAAGCTAGAAAAACAGTTGCTGCAACAGACACATGAAATCCTGAAAATTCATGAGAAAAACAGGTAAGAATGAGTAGTTGGTCTCTTACACTCTCTGTTTATCACAAAGTGGTCTGTGCGTGCTTTGTTCTAAGCAACTGATGGAAGAAGCAAATATGGTAAGTGGAAAGTATAGGTAATATTTATCAAATGGCTGAAAGAGCTAGGGTATGAACTTACATTGTGTTAGCTCATGTATGACAAATGGAAGTTGATTTTTACCACTTCTCATGTGTACTGTAAGTTTACATCTCAGTTTGCTACATGACAACTTAGTCATATGACCACAGTTCCTGCTACTGAAAAGCATAGGGATAACTTGTATAAGCACTTTCAAGTAGAAAAATATTAATAATAAATTATGAGATTATCAACTACTTTAAAGTGCATAAGAAACAGAAAATCTTCAGTAGTTCATCTTTCTAATTTTAATGGATACAAAGATCTAACATGTAGAAGTATCTCTCTCTCTCCCTTTGGACTCAATTGTATATAGCACCCTTGGAGCCATGATCCATTTAAAGAGTAAGTGAGTGATAAACATTTGGGGGTTACGTTGAAATTGAAGAAAAAACTGTTTAGCAGCACATAACTTTTTAAGCAGTGAAGTAAAAGTCAAGAATAAGTTCCAGTGCTGTCCCTTTCTGTGTTACACAGAAAGGGGCACAGGGACTCAGTACCTCAAGTCACTGGATTTAGCAATCCAGTATCTCAGAGAGCATGTGTGGTGGGTTGACCTTGTCTGGCTGCCAGACGCCCACCCAGCTGCATTCTCACTCCCCTTCATCAACAGGACAGAGGGAGAAAATATGAAAAAGCTTGTGGTCGAGATAAAGACAGGCAAATGACTTATCAGTTACCGTCATGGGCAAAACAGCCTTATTTATTGCCAATTAATAACAGCATAGGACAGTGAGAAATAAAAACAAAACCAAAAAGACATTTCCTCCCTACCTCCCCTTCCTCTCAGGCTCAACTTCACTCCTGACTCTTCTACCTCCCCTGCCGAGCAACGCAGGGAGATGAGGAATGGGGACTGCGGTCAGTTCACGCTTTGCCTCTCCTTCCTCATGCTTTTTCCCTTGTCCAGCACGGTTCTTTCCCAAGGGCTGCAGCCTTTCAGGGTAAGATTGCTCCCATGTGGCCTCTCCACAGGCTGCAGTTTCCTTCTGGACATCTCCTCCTGCTCCACCATGGCCTCTCTCATGGGCTGCAGGCCCCTGAAGCTCCCGGGCTGCCCAAACCTGGACACCTGCACTCCTTACAGTGGGTAAAGCCATTTTCCTTCTTGGCTGCCTTTCTAGGGACCTAAGGCTCATATTCCTGCCTCTGTAATGTCCAGGTTAAGCAGGGAGGACAGAGAGTGCTTGCACTCCGCAGCTTCACTCTTAGCTCCCTTCTAGAAAGAACAACCATGAGGAAAGGCTGACTAAGGTTTCCATTTCCTGTATGTACATTTGACATTGAAGTAAGGCAAACAGCTTTAAAAGTGAGGAAGTTACTGAAGCATCCTGTACAAGCTTTAGTAGACTGTTTAAACTGAGATCAGTCAGTTTGCCAAAAAACTGCATGACTCCAGTGCTGCTGGACAGGAATCAGCAACCGAGGCGGAAATACCTTGCCCAGGGTTGTGCGTAAGGAAGACCAACGCCACAATAGGCAAGGAGCTATAGGGAAAAGAAGGCAAAGAACCAGATAATGGTGAAAAATAGAAAATGTTGTTACGAAGAAATGTGTTTGCTAAATGTGTCTAGTTGCAAAGCTGGTCAAATAGTATACCATTATTGCCACTGGTTACGAAAACCAATTTAATGTATTCAATCTAACAATTGTTTATAACAAGTAATTCCAGCAAATGTTATTCTGGAGAAGTTGGACTACATTGAAACCTCTTGAACTCCACAGATTTCCCTTGACCAATTGGAAATATGCATAAATTAGTGTGGGATTAACTTTGACTTCAGCCATCTCAAAATTAAGTAATTCACGTAAACTGTGTATGCGGGCTCTCCCTGCAGTCCATGGAGAGAGTAGGCATGTGAAGGAGGCAGTTCATTCTACCTATTTTACGAACCTATTTCAATTTGGGATTAACCCAAGCATTAGTTAAGTATATAAATACTTGCATTTTTTTCTGCTGCAATCTGGTTAGCAACAAAATTTTATTGGCTGCTCAAGAAACTCCATCTTGTGTGCTTAATAATCTCTATTTATTTATTTATCTTAGGAATGTGTCAGGGTGTAAAGCCTTCAAGTCAGTAAACAAGTAAGTTTTATTTAAGTTCACCTTTGACTTGGCTGACATCATGATGAAATGGTCTGTGACATGAAAAAATGTCACCAAGCTCTGCCTTGGTTTTTCGGAAGAAAACATTTTTGGAGAAATGTTAAAAAGCACATTTTATATCAGATTTTTTCTCTCAGAAGTATAGTTGTATGTGGATAAATGAAGAAGCACATGGAGTTTCATCTTGTAATGAAGCAAGAACCTGGCATACACTGTCCAGGTTCTGTTACTGTCTCCTTGGGAATGATAAAATTAGGGAGAGGACATTGTTATGATTACACTAAAATATGGATCATCAGCTCCTGTATCGTCATCTACTCCTAACAAAGAACTGTGTAATCTTGGCCTTGTAGGTCCTGATCCTGAAATCAGTTATGTGTGTGTCAGTTTCATTATAGGACAAATCTTAGTGATCTCAGCAGATGCTAGGTTTCTGGGCATGCCAATGATTTTAGCTTGCTTAACTTTAAACAGTACTTACAGATTACCCATCAGGGTATGTTCAGTTGTTGTTTGCAGTTAAAATGTCTTCATCCCTCTCCATATCACTTTCACATCAATAAAACAAAGAAGACTCCTTTTATCCGCATTGCCTACATGGACTGTAAGCTTTTTTGGAAAGGGCCTTTCTTTTGCAGTAGGTATACACCACAGTGAGAACGAGTGTAGGTACTATCATTGCAAAAAAAATCAAAACAGGTGGTTTACTGTGGGCAGATCATTTCTTTCTCTGTGCTGAAATTTCCTCTATATAAAATAAAAATAATGATCTTAATCACTTTCAAAGAACTGGATTTTGGATTAAAATAATGCAAAGTCTTATAGTAACAATAACGCATCATTGATGTACTACAGTAACTTGTATATTATCCATAAATAAAATGAACACTGTGTATCGACAGGGGACCAGTGCATGTTCTTTTGACTAGAGATATATCTATTCTTGGTCTTTCTCTTTACTTCCTGCCTCTGCTGGGAAGAGTGACCAATTTTTTTCTTTTTAGCTCACTGAAGTGAAAGATATTCCATGGCATGAGTAGAGTCACATTTGCCCCAGAACCGTGTTTCTGTTGAGTACTCTCATGCCATAAGTAGTTTAGTTTTGTGGGTTCCCACCCACTATAATGTAAATGGTGGTTTCTTCCATTGCTATTTTTTCTCCCACAAGAGCTTTCTAAAAACTATTTTGATTTATTCTTGAAAGATTTCCCTGCTTAAGTGCCTTTATGAGCCCCCCTTTTTTTTTCCAGAACATACCAGCTGCATTTAACTTATTGTGTGCCATTTCTTTCAATATGTAAGTGTGAAAACAACTTTTTATTTACTCAAATGCAACAAATGAGGAAAAACATAATGGAATTCTGGATCTTCCAGCAATAAATAGTGGAAGTTAAATTTAAACGTAAAATCCTGCTTGAATTTGCAGACAATCAAACTAGATTAACATGTTCAGTACGAGAACTGTTGTACCCTATGAAAGATGAGGGCTCAAGAATGATTCTTGAATTTCCATCTGACTGTGTGAAAGATGAGGAAACACAATATATCTATTTGCATGTTTCACATATATTAAAAAGATAAATCCAGATTTTTCACTTCACTTTTGTGATTTAGTGGAATTATCTTGTCACTGGTATAAAAAATAGGCTTACTGATGCTAAGTGACCAGTTACGTTACTGGTCTTGAGAAATATGGGGACACATTTTTATATTTCCTTAAACTGATCAGACAGTATCATCCCACCAAAGTAAGTATGAGTGGTCAGGACCTGACAATACAGGGAAAATGTTACTCATATAAATGCAAGTACAAAGAAGCTGTCTCAATGAGAAAATACTGTTCTTGCACTCAAAAGTAAGTATTTAAATCCTCTGCCTGTTTGTCTTCCCATACATATGTAATACAAAAGAACCACATGTATACGGCCAAGGAATTTTTTTCTAGTGTGACGTTACTTGTCTTTATTTATTGAATAGCTCGACAAAGTAAATGTTTTTATCTGTATTTTTAATAAATCCAGATTTTTTTAAAAGATTATTTTAAAGCGAAAAATGTCCATCTCTAAGATCTGGTCTATATCCTGTTCTCACATATCTAAACTGAAGCCTCTGAAAACAAAGATTAAAAAAAAAAAAAAATCTCTTAAACTGCCATGGTCTGGAATGGATTAGTGAATAAACTACCTACCTTATAAGGCAGATTGTCTAAACCAGACTTTCCTTCCTCCCCAGAGAGCTACCAGAGTGCTTTCTATATGTTATACTTCATCACCTTTCAGAATGACAGCAGCTTTCACTGGAAGTTGTTCTTTGACTTCTATATGGGCCTTCTACCCTCTCCAGCATTACCAGAAGGCTTTTTCTGAATCAGCAGGACACAGCACAGTTGCACTGAGGCATCCCACTAGCTTACATCCTGACAAAGTTAATACATTGTTTGTATGATTGAAAATAGGTTCCTAGCCTTGTCAAGATCAGTAGGTTAGACATTGAGCATGATTAACCTTTAGGAAAATTAAATTTGTCTGGGTTTGGGTGTGTGTGTGTGTTTGGTTTTAATTTAATTGTCTTCTAGGTAATGACTCCAAAGAGTCATTGTCCAATGGATAATATTGGTATTTATCCATGTTAACAACATTTGTTTCTTCAACAACTTCATTCTGTTCCCCCAATGCCTGATTTGTTTCCCCAAATTGACAGTTACAATTATAAAACCCACATATACCTATGCGTGTGT